TTTGTTACAAGAATGTTTTCCACTTGATTTGCTTGAGTATGTCTATTTGTTAAAAGGATGTTTCCCACTTGATAGCTTAGAAAGAAGAGAAAATTAATTGTTGTTAAGTTTTAAATATTTTAATTTTTAAAAGGAAATTAATTTAGTGTGTCAAATGCTTTGTAGCAACCAATTTGAATCTGAGCCCACTCTCCCCAAGTACAGAAGTGGTAGAAAGGGGAGTGCACTCCCTGTAATAGGAGAAATGCTTTGTAACTTTGGTTCTTGCAACATCTTTTCATTAAATATCTCTTTGTAAAAGTTAATTGATTTTAATTGGTTAAATTGATAGCGGAGTGCCAATCACTAGGTCAATTGGTGATTTAGGGTAGATACCAACTGGCAGAACTCACACGATATTAAAGAGAAAACTAGTAGATTGATATTTGAGAGAACACAGTGGATTGGGAGCTTAAGCTAGTAAAATTATAAAGGCAATCACAACCTCTCCAGGTTACCCCTGAAACTGTGAGGCAAAGATACAGCTATTTAGCTCTCTGAGAATCTGACTCATCAGTGCAAGTGAGAGTTGGGCTAAAGACCCTCTAAAGTCTATAGATCTTGATAGATGTGTACATACTCTAAGGGATTCAGTATATATGTGTATATGTGTGTGTCTTTCTGAAGGCATTGATATATATGTTTCTGGTGGATCAGCAAGTAAAGGAGTCAATGTGTCTGTCTTATTTGGTCATTGATGGTGTTCAATGAAAGGTCATGGTATTTGTGAGAAGAGGGTCAGTGTATGTGTCTATATGATGCAGCCAATGTGTCTGTGTCTGTCAAGAGGGGCTGGATTGGAAGTCAGTATGTCTGTCTAATGTGCTCAGAATGTATGACTCAAGTGGTTACTATGTTACTCTGTGTGTGTGTGTGTTTGTGTTGTGTGTGTGTCCCTATCTCAACTTCTACCTCACCCTTTAAAACTGGATATCACCCAAGGTTCTTTCACTGGCCCTTTTAAAAAATCTCTGTACTTTCTCCTTTGATCATAAAACCCTATGGCATTCTACAAATGACTCCCAAATCTGTATCTACCCAACCTTCTCACACACACAAACACATACACATCATCATCATCATCATTATCTCTATTCCTTTATTTCCAGTTGCCTACCAGACCTTTCCACCTGGATGTCCTACCAAAACCTCAAACTCAACATGTCCAACACTAAACTCATCTTCTTCCCCAAACCTCTTTTTTACCTTACTTTCTTGATTTTTGTGGATGGCATCATTGTCTTCAGTATCATTACCCAATGTCATCTTGGAATTGTCTTCGACTTTCTTCCTTAATCCCCCTCCAATATTCAGTTCAATCCAACCAGAATTTATTAAACATCTATGACACAAAAGGCATTGTTCTAGGCACTGGGATACAAAAAACAAACAAACAAACAGGTCTTGCCATCAAGGAGGATATTACATTTTAAAAGATAAGTTTATGCAAGAAAATCTGAGGAAAGAAAGAGCAGTAGGAGGATCAGGAAAAGCTTCCTGGCGGAGACACATTCCAGGTGTGTAGGACAACCTATACAAACACAGAGGCAAGAAATAGATTGCCAGGTTCCAAGAGAAAACTGTCCTTCAGATGAATGTACTGAGAGAACCTGTCTGAAAGTAGCTTAAAGACAAAAGCACTGACTAAAGGTAGGGATAGCCATGATACATTGTTGTCCACCAATTAATTTTGTTGTTGTTGTTGTTTAGTCATTTTTTTAGTCATGTCCAATTCTTCATGACCCCATTTGGGGTTTTCATGGCAAAGATACTGGAGTGGTTTGTCATTTCCTTTTCCAACTCATTTTATAGATAAGGAAAGGGAGGCAAACAGGGTTAAGTGACTTGCCCAGGGTCACATAGCTAGCAAGCATGTGAGGCCAGATTTGAACTCAGGTAGAGGAGTCTTCCTGACTCCAAGTCTGGCATTCTATCCACCGTGCCACAGAGTTTTGAAGCATATATCTGAGAAACTCTAAAGCAGAGAATTGCTGGGGCACTGTTAGGTGTGAGCCTGAAGAGAGTATTCCATTCAGGTTAAATTTTGGGATGAAATAAAGCACTTGTAAGACATTGAACAGTTAACAAAACTTTGTCTGAACCTATCAAGTATATACAACAAGGAGGCAGTGACACTTAGCTTGTAGAGATAATGCCTTCCTGAAAACACGTCTGGTCAGCAGGGCAGGGTATGGTGACCTGAATGGTCTTCAGGCAGTTTTGTCACTATTTAGTGAAAACTAATCCCTGTTGCATTCTTGTAATGGGAGGAAGGGGAAATCGTGGCAGATGTTGGTCCTATCACAAGAACTATGGGTAAATGGTATATTTTCTTTTCGTCAAATAAGATATTCCATCTTCCAACACTGAGCATTCTCACTGGCTGTCTCTCATGCACTCCCTTCTCATCTCTACCACCTGCTTTTCCTGGATTCCTTCAAATCCCAGTTAAAATCTCACATTCTACAAGAAGCCTTTCCCAATCCCCCTTAATTCCAGTGCCTTCCCTCTGTCGATGATTTCCAATTTGCTCTATATGTAGCTTGTTTGTAAATAGTTGTTTGCATGTTGTCTCCCCCATTAGATTGTGAGCTCCTCAAGAGTAGGAAGTGTCTTTTAACCTTTCTTTATATCCCAGCACTTAGAACAGGGTCTGGCACATAGGAGACACTTAATAACTATTTATTGACTGACTGATTATATTATGGCTGATAAAAATATGGACTCTGGATTTATCAATCTAAGGTAAAAATAGGACATTACTCATAAGGCACAAATTTGAGGCATTAGAAGCAATAAGAAAAGAAAGAAGAAGCCAGAGATCAGAAGAATGAGAAGATACACTAGTCACCAAGACAGAAACAAACCAAAGAAGAATCAGATAAGAGCAGCTGCTTCAAGTTGAGTCATTTGAGAGAACTGACTAAAGGCCAGCAGGCTCTGCAGCTGCTGAGAGCCCACTGGAGAAGCAGAAATCTGCTGCCATGTGAAGAGCTGGCTGGACTTGCTGCTCTTTAGCCCCATCTAGAGTTCAAGAGCTTACTGAGGGCAGAAAAGCACTGCAGATGCTCTGAGAGCTGATTGGTGGAAAACAAAATTCTTCCTTCATGTGAAGAGCTGGCTGGCTAATTGCCCTCTAGTGCCATCTACAGACTAGAGAGGGAAAACCTCTGAGGGGCTTGACTCTGGTGTCCTCTATCGTCCTCTACTATCTGAAAGACAGATATTCTTCAAAGCCCCAGAGAATTTTTTAATTCTCTGGCTTAAAGGAGTGCTTCTCCCTGAAATATATTCAGTGCCCAGCATTATAGGTCCTGGCCTCAGGGATACCATTTCAGTGAAAAAGTGTAATGATGCTGCATTATTAATAGAGCTTGGCACTGCTTCAGTGGCCAAGAAAAGCAGAGAAGCAGCTTTGTCCAGCAGATCAAATAGGAAGGCTCAGAAGAGAAGCAGAGGACACGTGATACAGAATAGCATTCAGGCCTGTGGTCCAGAGTTGTGAGTTACTCCAGGAACACATGCCTCAAAGCCAGGTTTTTGTAAAGGTTTGTCCACTCTTCCACAGATAGTGCACCCATTGGTGAGCAGTCTATACCTTTTGCAATCCAATCTTTCTCAAATCACTCCTCAAAAAAGTACCAAAACTTGAAGTTTAGAAGGTATGGGTTTGAATTCAACCTTAGATATTTACAAGCTATGTGACCCTGTGAAAGTTACTTAATAGCTATTTGCCTCAGTTTCCTTATTTTTAAAATGGGGATAATAATAGTGCCTTCCTTGTTGTGAGGATCAAATGAGATAATGTATGGAAAGTGCCTTACAAATTTTAAAATGTTATTTAAATTTGTTACTGTTATTTTTCATATTACAGAGTTTCTTGAATGTAAGGCTGAGGAGATTGTACTTTAGTAGGCAAACTCTTCAAGGTTGGCTACAATTTGGTTCAAACCTCCTTTCATAATTTTGCTGTCAAATAGTCTGTTTCAACCAAACCTGAGTTATTTTGTCTTTTACCCAACTGGGCCTTCTTCTAACTCTGTCTTTTGCCAAGACTTCTACCATACTTGGATTGAACTTCCCCAACTCAAGCATCTCTTCTCCTATGAATCTTTCCCAGACACTCCCATCAGTCCACTCAGATGTGAAAGCCTTCTCTCCTGTCTGATTTCTTACAGCCCCCTCCCCAGGGCCTTTCTTATCGCCTCCTCCTTTATAACACAGTTACCACCAGACAGTATTTATCTAGCTCCTTGCTAGCAGCTTTGTTTCTTTGTATCCTCTTTAGTAATTTTTTTCTCAGTCACGTCCGACCTCATTTGGTTTTTTTGTTTTGTTTTTGGCAAAGATACTGGAATGGTTTGCTATTTCCTTCTCCAGCTCATTTTACAGATGAGGAAACTGAGGCAAACAAGGTTAAGTGACTTGCCCAGGGTCACAGCTAGTAAGTATATGATACAGAAAAGGAACTCAGGTCTTCCTTACTCCGGACCAGGCTCCTTATCTACTGTGTCATCTAATTGCTTTTTGCCAACAGCAGGTCTCTAATTTGGAAGTTAGAGAATCAGGGTTCAAATCCTAGTTCTCCCACTTACACCCTTCTAGGCCTTAGACAAGTAAATTCATGTCAATGGACCTCAGATTCCTCTTTTGTAAAATGAGAGGGCGGGACCAGATGATGTCACGACCTTCATGTTGTTGAATGAATGAATGAATGAATGAATGAATGAATGAATGAACGAAAGAATAAATTAATCAGTTAAAGGATAAAAGAACAAATGGGGGTTCATTGTGTGCAGAGGAAAAAGGTAAGGCCAGTGCCCGCGGGGCTAGGCCGAGGGGCAGACTCGCCACACGCAACGAGCGAGGCAGGGTGCGAGGGCAGGCGGCCGCAGGAAGTTGCGCGTCCTCTCTTCCGGCGCGGGGAGATGACGCGCAGAGCACTTCCTGGTTGAGAGGCTCACGGCAGAGCCCCTGAGCAGGGACTGCCGGGGGCCTGCGGGCTGGCAGGGATGCACCGCCGCGGGGTGGGCGCCGGCGCCATCGCCAAGAAGAAGCTGGCTGAGGTGATTCCCCCGGGCCTCTCGGGAGCTGAGCTCCCCATTCGTGCCCCCGTCCCCGAAGCCAGGCACCCCCATCCCACCCCATCTCCGCAGGCTGGAGCCTTCTTCATCCCTGGGCCCGGCGACCCCCAAATCAGGCTTCGCCCCCTCACTTTCTGCTTTTCCGGTGCCGGTTACCCCAGGCTGGGAGGGGACCCCGAACCCCAGCCCCCCCATCCCCAGGCTCATCCTAATGTTGTTCTCCCACAGGCCAAATATAAGGAACGAGGCACTGTCCTAGCCGAGGACCAGCTGGCCCAGGTGAGCTGGTCGGGGTCATAAGGTCACAGAATTTGAAGCTGGAAGGGACCGTTTAGTCCAAGGCCCTCTTTTTACAGATGAGGACCAGGTCCTTATCCAAGTCCTCTGACTTTGAACCCAGGGCTCTTTCCACTATAACAGGGGAGGAGGCTGGTTTAGCTCGCACAGTTACATGCTGAGAAGTTGGTGAGTTCCGGGGTCCAGGCTTTTGCCTTCATCTAACTTTCCAAAAGGGAGACTCTCAGGGCAGCGAGGTGGCTCAGTAGATAGAGCCCCGGCCCTGGAGTCAGTTCAAATCCGGCCTCACCCTGAGCAAGTCACTTAATCCCTAATGCCTCTTCCCCCCTCCCCCAAAAAAGGGGGACTAACTTTTTACATACTGTCACTACTTTTCCTGGAGCTCAACCTTTAAAATTGGAGAGACAGTTCAGAACATCCCAGTTCAAAAAGATTTGGGCAAGTCAATTTATTATCATTACTCATCATTCATTATCTCATGAAGATTACAAGGTTGTGGGGAAGGAAGGAGATAATATGGGTGTGGGGGTGGTTTGTACATTTCCTAATATGTAAAAATATTATTAAAATGATAGACATTTACTATTCACATACCAATTACACACATACACACCCAGGTACCCACAAAAGTCTCATGAACTTTGCAGGCCAGAAATACTATAACATGTATATAAAACAAAAGCCATTTCTAATCATCTTCATAAGCTGTCATTTATATATGAATTTAAGGTTTACAAAGCACTTAACGTATGTTCTTTACTGCTATGAAATTCTGACTTTTATAAAGGAGATGACAGGTGTAAATCAATTAAAATTTCCAAACATCATGCTTAAGAAAGGATCAAACTAATTTACTTTGGGGGGAGGTCATCTTGAGAAATGAACCAGTGATTTCTGCTGGCAGGGTAAAAGGTACAGGAAAAGAAATATGTATAATACAAAACAAGATATAATTCCCAAGTTGTTTTTATGTGGCTTTGTTGCTGTCTGAGTGGTTTAGACCCCTCAAAGACTGGAATACAGGACAGGGTGGTCTGGAATGAATTTATAGACTCAAGCATTCATTAAGTCAAGGTGGCAAAGATTTATTGTTATGCTATACAGCGGGCAAGGATTCTCAAGGAACCTGCAACCTAATAGGAATGATGCTAAAGCTTATATAGGAAAAGCAGTGGATTGTGTTCCAAGTATGCTAATTAGGTGATAACATACAACCTTACAGGCATCATTCACTACTAGAAATGGGGGGGGGGAGGAATTGGGGGGAATAGAGGGTTCCTAAAGGGTATATTTTTGGTCTGTTTTGCCTGTAACTTGACCTCTGGATCATAAATGATAGTTGAGAATCAGTACATGATAGTTTTGTTGATACAAGATAGTACAAGGGAAATTCTACAGAGGTCAGCTTGTTCTTGTAACAGGGAGAGATAGTGTACCTCATCGGGCCCACTCATGTGTTAATGCCAGGGATAGGGTCTTTGGGCTAGGGAGATAACTGTCAGAGATGGTGCCTTGAGGCTAGGGAGAAATATGATCTTGGAAGTGAGGTCCAAGTACAAGCACCCCATCAGCCTTAGAAAGCAGTAAAAAATACCCTTACCTCTTAGATCATGCCTAAATTTAGTGTTCCCCTTGACTTATCAATAGTGTAAACTCCATGTATCTAAAATATTTTTTACCAATTGAATCTCATTTCTTATAACAAGACAGAGGCTCATTTCTTCACATGGCAGTTAGATAGGAGTAAAGAAAAGGAGGAAGACAGGTAAGAGGAACAGAAGATGGATATTTCTAGGTACTTTCAGCCTGCCCTCCGCCTGTGGGCTAAGGGTCCAAATGCTGGCACCTGCCTGTTGCTTAACTGGGCTTCCCTTCATATTCCCCTGTGTCTCTTCCACAGATGTCAAAGCAGCTGGACATGTTCAAGACCAACTTGGAAGAATTTGCCAGTAAACACAAGCAAGAAATCCGGAAGAATCCTCAGTTCCGGTTGCAGTTCCAAGACATGTGTGCCACCATTGGGGTTGACCCCTTGGCCTGTAAGGCATTGCCCCTAGGGGTTCCACTCTACCTCAGAATTTCAGAAGAGAAGGGTATCAGTTAGAGATCATTATTAACTGACCCCTTATGGGGAGAACCAGAGGCTGTCTCCCTTAAAGAGCTCTTCAACAGATGGGGAAAAGACAGTTCCTGGCCTGAAGAAACTGTCAGTTTAATAGAGAAAAAATAGATTGTGGTGTAGTCTAAGTGGGTTGCTTGTCATTACTATTCATGGATTATCATCAGATTTTTTAATATCATCCCTTCATTACTCTTCCTCAGCATTTTCCAGGTCACCTCTTCTATCAGCCTGTCTTTGTATGCTCACAGAAGGCAAACTCATTTTCACATGTATCTAAGCCATATAGAATTAGGAAGGGACATCTACTGTGTTCATGCAGTGCATTCCAAGCCAAGTAGAAATGGTTTTTTAAATTATCTCCACCACTTTGCTTATCTAGTAGTGGGGACGACCAAATAAGTGTTGAAGGGTTTTTGAGTTAAGGAGTGAGCAAGAGTTAAAGAAAGGCTTCTTATTGGAGAGTAATTTTGAAGAGAAGATTGTGGAGTAGCAGAATAACCTTGGCTTTTCTGCTTCCTTCTTTTAGCTGGGAAAGGATTTTGGTCTGAGATGCTGGGTGTTGGAGACTTTTATTATGAGCTGGGTGTTCAGATTATTGAGGTGTGCCTGGCACTGAAGCATCGGAATGGAGGTGAGGCCTTCTACTGGGAAGAAGAGGTGGCCAAACCGCAAACACCAAGGCTACTTTGCTTCTCAGGTTCACCTAATCCATGTCCCTGCTGATCAATTCTTTCTTTTTTGGGGGGGTGGGAGAGGGCGAGGCAATGGGGTTAAGTGACTCGCCCAGGGTCACATAGCTAGTAAGTTTCAAGTTTCTGAGGTCAGATTTGAACTCAGGTCATCCTGACTCCAGGACTGGTACTCTATCCACTGTGCCACCCAGCTGCCCCTGATCAATTCTTAAAGAAACTGTTTTGAAGGCTTGGTCAATCCATTTCAGTTGAATCCATGATAAGTCTCCACATCTAAGGATAGGGGATAACTTCTTTTGCTCTTCATGGCATTTTGCCAGTCTGATCTCTAGTTGTTGAGGAGAAGAGGCCTAGGATGTAGGTCAGGCTTGTTCTATGACATGCTCTATAGCCTAGAAAAAGTCACTTAATCTTTCTGGGCAAACTTCCCAATTGTTAGTAAAAGGACTCTCAGTCCTGCCATGCTGGGTTAGCTGTCAAGCTGTCAGCCATGAGATAAAATAGTCCATTCAAAAACTGCTAAGGGGACAGAGGCTTCCAAAAAGTCTCCAGGTGTTTACCGTTTTGTTGACCACATTGGATTAACTGTGCATAAGTTGGTTAGGATAGGAATTTGGACTTGGACCTGGGATTTTATTAGTATAGGAAACTCCTCAGTGAATAAATAGGTGCAGGTTAGCCCCTTCTTCTCTACGTCTTGTAGTGTTAGGAGTACTGCCTAGAGCAGGGGTAGGGAACCTGCAGCCTTGAGGCCACATGTAGCCTTCTAGGTCCTTAGGTGCAGCCTTTTGACTGAGTCTAAGTTTTACAGAACAAATCCTTAATAAGGGAATTTGTTCTGTGAAGTTTGGATTCAGTCAAAGGGCCACACTTGAGGACCTAGAGGGCCACATGTGGCCTTGAGGCCGAAGGTTCCCCAACCCTGGCCTAGAGCATTGTGGTTCAGATACTTGCACAGGATTACACAGTTAGTATATATCAGAGTCAGAACTCGAACTCAACTCTTTCTGACTTGAAAGCCAGCTCCTGATCCAGTAAGTTAGTTAAGATAGCCAAAATACCTGTAAGTCTGTTGGCTATGAATGGATATTGTCTTAGTGTCAGTAAAAGATTTTGAACTTTTTAGAGGAAAGACTGTCCTTAATTTTCTATTCTCAAGTCCTGTGATCCTCAAAAAATACTTCAGTCCTATTGGCCCTAATGGTTCCTACTCTCTACTCGTGGTTGATTATTTGTGGGGGAGAAGGGCAAAAGGAATTCAGCAACTTAAGGGATAACTTTTAGGCCCAATCTGTAATTGGGGTGACTCCTGTGAATAGCCGCTGCTCCTACAGGGATTCTTTCCATCTGATTTGTACTGTCCCATCCCCTTAGGTCTGATCACTCTGGAGGAACTACACCAGCAGGTGTTGAAGGGAAGGGGCAAGTTTGCTCAGGATGTCAGCCAGTAGGTATTTCCTTCCATTCCTTTGGGGATGAGGCAGATTTCTTTAGAGATAAATATAATCACTTTGGGTTCAAGTCCAGTCTTACCTAGAGAAAAATTGAAAAATAGCTTGGCTAACTGCTAGATACCTTCATCTCTTCCTGTCCGTATAATTTCTGGCAAAGGAGACCAGGGAGATATAAAGATATAAAGGAAGAAAGATCAATTTAACATGGGATGTAAATTGATTTAGTTGACCTGAGACAAACATTTTTAACCTTTTTTGTGTTTCCCCTTTGGCATTCTGGTGAAGCCAGTGGAGCCGTGCTTAGAATAATGTTTTTAAATTAATAAAATAAAATACATAGGATTACAAAAGAGACCAATTATACTGAAATAACAGTTAACAAAATATTTTTAAAAACACAAGTTTATGGTCCCCATTTCAAGACTCCCTTGACCTAAAATATTCCTACCCTTAATTTGGGGGAGGATAAGAGGTTGATTGTGTATTATACATAGTAATATATGGTAGGTTCCCAAGGAGCCAGCCCCCAAGTATGAGAGCATGGAGCAATAGATCTTCAGAAAATAAGGGAACAATAAAGGATTGCTAGGCATACGTACTACTTAGACCCACTACTCATCGAATATGAATGAAGAGAGTGTGAATGGATGGGGCTCAAGCAGCTCTTATAACAGCAATCCTGAGGGATTAGAGCAAGCACACCAGCAGCCCCCGACCTCCTTTCTCCATGACTGGTCAAAGATGCCTTCTTGCTAGGCCGGGGGAGGAGAGATTGAAGTTTGGATTCTTTGCTGAGTGGGGTCACAGGACTGAAATCTCTAGCTCTGGAATATCTTAAGCCATTTGGGGTTCCTTCTTTCATGCTTTCACACTAGCAAACTGGGGGCAGGACTAAAAGGGTAGGAGTGGTTGGTCTTGTCATTCAGGTGCCGTTGAATCACTTCTCCCCCATCTCAGAGATGACCTCATCCGGGCCATCAAGAAACTGAAGGCCTTGGGCACTGGCTTCAGCATCATTCCTGTGGGAGGCACTTATCTGGTCCAGTCAGTTCCAGCTGAACTCAACATGGATCATACTGTGGTGCTGCAGCTAGCAGAGGTACCTTCCCCCCCCCCCCAGCTCCTGCAGGGTCACAGAGGTCAAAGGAGACAGCCCCAAACACCTCAACTGCCCCATTTCTCCTTGTATTCCTCCTCTCCACACTCATCAAGTTTTTTAACCAAGAGTCAGTTACTCAGGTAACAGGTACATAAAGGATAGGGTCTGGATCTGGACCTCTGCCTGGGTAAGGAGACTTCCTCAACAATCCCTTATCTGCAGCTTCTGTCTTAAGGGAGCCGCCTAGAGCATGAGAGGTTGTGGCTTGGCCGGGATCACATAGGCTGCAGTGTCAGCTTCAGGAAGCAAGGCCACTAAACCAAAATGCCCCCAGGGACAGTTCAGAGAGCACTGCCTTTGTCTGTCAAGACCTGGTGCTTATTGTGTGACCCTGGGCCTCAGCATCCTTATGTGTAAAATGAGGGAATTGGACTCAGACCCTAAGGTCCCTTCTAGCTCTAAATATATTTTTTTTAATGATAAATTATTTGTAAATACTAGCTAAGAGGCAAAAATTTCTTGTGGGTAGAACATAATAGATGAGACCATAGCCAGCCATCTGAATGGTCCCCTCCCCAATTTTTCCCTAAAAAAAGTAAATTGATCCAAGTTATAGTATAACTGGTCATTCAAGCTCCCAGAACAAAACTAGCAAACATATTGCCCACCATCCTACTCTTACCCTTCCTGGGACTTGACCTTTCTAACTCAGGAATGAACTCAACACACACACTGCTGCTTGGGCTATGCCCAGTTATCATTTTCTCTACCTCCAGTATAATCCAAGTCCTTTTTCCTGGGATAGAGTGGGGAAAGCATTGTGCCAGGTTGGGGGGGGGGGGGGGGTCAGGGGAAAGCACACAGTCCCTGCTGATTGGACCATGTTCTTCCTCCCTCCAGAAAAATGGTTATGTGACAGTCAGTGAGATCAAAGCAAGTCTCAAATGGGAGACAGAGAGAGCTCGGCAAGTGCTGGTAAGTGTGCTTAGAATGGTTAGGAGAGATGAGGCCCTGAAGTACCGTGCAAAGCAGAGAACTCATCCTTTTAGTTCATTTTGAGGAGGGGTAGCAATAGGGCCTTATGGATTGTCCATTGGCCCCTTTTCTTATAGTGTTCTTTCTGTTTTCACTAGTGATTAATATTTCTCTAAGGCAGAGGTTCTGAATGTTCCTTTTTAATATTTTATAACTATTTTAAGAGAATTGCTTTCTTTTTTGTATATTTGTGTGTATTTGCATTTTAAAAAACATTCTAAGAAAGGATCTGTAGGCTTCACCAGACTGCCCAAGAAGGCCATGATACTGGACCAGATAAGTGCCTCCCACAGGAATGATGCTAAAGCCAGTGCCCAAGGAAATAAATAGGGACTCTACCTTCCCTGAGCTAGGGTTACTATGTAACTTGCAGTGTGTACAGGAAGGCAAGTTGTTACTGGAAGACCTCTCTTGGTCCTTGGGAAGCCTGACCCTAGAATAACTGTCAGAATACCTAAATTTTATGTGTGTCTATGTGTGCATGTGTATATACTGGAATACTGTTTTAAGAATAAAGGGAATTAACAGTATATATCATTATACAGCACAGGTGTTAGTTTATATGTGTAATAAAATTTTATATCTGGGTTTTAGTCTCTACTACTAATTAGGTGGCTGATTTTTGACAAGCCAATTAACTAACATCAGTGGGCCCCAAAGAGATCATCTATAAAATGCAGATGATGATAATACTGGAAGGCAGGAGACTAAATCAGCTGACCCCAAGATCCATCTCTAGGATTTATAGCCCTGACCTCTTCTCTTCCCCCTACAAGCATTTATGTATCACTTTTTACCTCTTTAGAGCACTTTCTACACATCTTTTGGTATAGTAGAAAGAGCACTGAGCTTAAAATCTAAGGATACAGGTTCAAATCCTGCTTCTACTACTTCTTATGTATCTGGGCAAGTCATTTCACCTCAGGCTTTAGTTTCCTCATCTGTAACCTAGGTAAGGCAATAATACTTATACTATCTACTTCACCAGGTTGTTGTGAGGAAAGTCCATCGTAAACCTCCAAGTACAATACTATACCCTGGTTATCAACTGGTCTATTCCCACCCCCAGCAAGACTGGGAGGATAAAGGGAGGTGGTAAGGACAGGGATTTTTCAGTTTTGCCGATAAACAAGATTAACTTGCTCTGTGATCTCAGACAACTTGTGTTCTCCCATCACTTCATGATCTTTTTAATATCTTATGCTAAGACCAGTCCTCATTTCCCTCCCACAACCCAGGCAAACAAGAGGCAATTTTCTCTGTACTTTGGTTAAGGAACAAAGCCAAACAGGTAATTTCAGACCATGCAGTAAGCAGGTGGAAGGTCCATATGAGTGTGGTGAAGGCACTCATCTGCACTGTTTAGGGTGAAAACCCCACTGAGGCAAAAGGAGGTTTCAATTTGGCTGTGGCTCCTTCCTGTACCATCTCTGGAGACTGTCCTAGCTCACTCCCCACTATAACATCCTGCCAAGTGGTCACCAGCCACCTCCTGAAGGCCTCCAGTAATGAGGAACCCACTACTACCCAAGGATGCTCATTGCACTTTTGAACACATCAAATTGTTCAGAAGTTTTTCCATTATATAGAATGAATTTTCCTCTCTGCAACTTCCATTCAGTACTTCCAGTTCTAGCCTTTGAGGCCAAGCAGATCTAATTTTCCTCCATATTTGTTCTCCAGACTCTTGAAGACAGCAGTCTTGTCCATCTTCCCTCTCTGTTCTTCAAGTGAGCCTTGTATAGCAGTCTCTAGTCATCCTCAGCCCCCTGATTGCCCTCCTCTGGATAGGATTTAGCTGTTCAACCTCCATAAAATCTGGGACCTAGAATGTAACACTATATTCTGTGCTCTGACCAGAGTGTGCTTTCCTCCTCTTTTTCTAGATTGTGTTTCTCATAATGCAGTCTCTGCCTGCTATGTCCTAGAGCCTCTAAAACCTGTCTTTTCCATATAAACTCATCTATTCTATTCCTAGGAGCACCTACTGAAAGAAGGGCTGGCCTGGCTGGATCTGCAGGCTCCAGGGGAGGCACACTACTGGCTACCAGCTCTCTTCACAGACCTGTACTCCCAGGAAATCACAGCTGAGGAAGCCAGGGAGGCCCTCCCCTGACTCTAGGTGGAAGCAGATCAGTGGGAAGAATGGAGGAAGACAGGGCAAGATCTACCAAGGAAGCCTGAACAATAAACATTTTTGTAAGAAAACGGTCCCAAGTTGCCACTTTTCCTCAACGATTTTTTAATACCTAAGGTTTTCTATTAATGGAGGTTCTTGTTAACCATTGTCATCCCTGGCACTTTTATATTCTTTTTTGTTTTTCAAAATACTACTATCCTAACAGTAACTGTGAAAGAGGTAGAGCAAAAATAGAAACTCAGGCCCAGAAGTGTAGGGTCGAAGTTCTACTAAATTCATAGATGAGTTGAGCCCTGGAATCTGGTTCAGTCTCCCAGGCCATTCTTTTAAGTACTTGGTAAACATCTATAGGGATGCAAACCATGAACAAGCTTTTTACTAGCTTAATGCTCATTCACTGATTTGCCAAATCAAATTCCCTCCTATCCCATTTACAACTCTACTTTGAACCAACAGTCTGAGTCACCAGGTAAGGCCTGAGAAGCCCAAATGCTTTATTACTTCCTTTACCTTGAAGGAAGATTAGCATTTTGCCCAGGAGGCAGCAGAGCTGAAAGAAGCTGGATGGCTCTTTGTACTACCCTGGGGTCTTCACAGAACTGTTTCTTTCGATCAGCATAGGAGTTATTAAATAAATAATAAAAAAGATGATGCCAAAATATCACCCCAAAGTAGTTTGGATTATCCACAAAGGGGCTCCTCTCTCAGTCCAGGACAGTAATATTTAGGCAAATAACCATTTCCTTTACTATCCTCCCACCTCCACCATGTAAGACTCGGGTTTCTTCATCTTCCAGTAAGTTTCTGCAGGCCTGAGATGGCCCAGTAAACCATATCCTTAACGAGGACAACCACTCTCAGGCAAAGATTCTAATAGCTGCTAACTGGGACACTTAGGCACTCCCTTCTCAATCTGTCCTCCAGGAACAATAACCAACAGCTCCCCAACAATTTAATGGGTTTCTGCATCATCTTCAAAGAAGGCAACCTCTATTATGATAATGGATCCCCCTTGCCCATGTAGCCTAATATTCCAGTTCAGTTATTCTTTGCACTGTACCCACGTGCTGGCAATGATATGCTACCCAAGGACTGGGTACCATGCTTGTCCACACCCACAGCAACCTCCTTCTGCCAAAACAAACTTTATTGCACAAAAAATCATTTATGTACAGTCAGATATAAAGATGTCTCTTTGAGTGACTTCTGTGCATATATTTTCTCAACTCAAGATTAGAGCATAAAAGTTGGGCCACGATGCCAGAGGTGCTCTGCTCATGGCAGGATCAGGGAGAGGATTGTCGCTTGGAAGTAGAAACACTTAAATGGCAGAAGGACAACACTGCATCTATAGACCAAGAACACTCACCCACGACCCTGTGTGTGCTCCAATATTGAGGGAATTTGGGAGGCCAAGTCTAGTGCTCATCCCAGACCTACGCATCTGGGTAGACTAGCAGCCTCGAAACTTGTTTTGAGTGGAATAACAACCAATCTTGACTAATGGTTGCCTATGGTTCTCTTCCTACTCCCCAAGCCCATTTTACCCTGTTTGTTTCCTGCCCTACATCTCTTACAAAGAATTCTCCCCCTGTTGCCCAACAAGCTCCATCCCCACAATGGTAAGTGTTTAGGTTAAATATAGTTCTAGGTTATTCTAGAACCTCAGATCTAAAGTATATATTATCTGACTCATGAGGCAGAGGTCCTTTAAATTCTGACCCCTATCTTCCACAGAATCCAGTCATTCTCCCTCACAGGTAGTTAGGATGCTGACCAAAGCCTTAGGGTTAGCTCAACAGCTGTGTGAATGATGCCCCTGGGGGAAACATAATACAGTAGGAAGCTTGGGGCAGAGCCAAAATAGGGAGGAGAGATGCCCAGCACTACAGTGCTTAAAGCATGTCTTTCTCTGTTAACCAGCCAGAAGGATCCTTGCAGCTAAATAAAGCTAGGGAGAGTGAGAGCTAGCCCTGCAAGTATCCAACTAAGCCAGCGGACGAGTTCCCCTCTGATGATTCTCCTGCCAAGAGTCAACATTTGGCAGCATGCACAGCCCAGAACAAAGTCCTCCAGTCTTAGTCCTGTTTCCCCTCTGCTACTGGCCGCCACTGCTTTCCCCCAGGTCCCAAAGTACTGTGAACTTGTGAGGGAACCACAGACTGGAGTGCAAACACCAAGGAGAATAGCTGGACAATCCACTCCTCAAAAAATTTCAATCCCCTTGTCACTCCAAAGGAAGAATATCCTTGTTTAGATGCGAATTCAGAAGAAACCGTTCCCTCAGAACAGTTTTAACCCCAAATGGACAACAGCTGCCAGTGTTGAGGACTTTTCCATGAGAATCAGTGATTGTGGGAACAAACAGTATTTTCAGTTTCCATGGCGCCTGCGCTGGATTTGCAAAGACCTTTTGTTGGTCTCAATCAAATCTCCATCTAATGGCAGCAGAAGGGAGTAGGGAAGAGGCAGGAGAGAAAGGTGCTTGGGTGCTAGGTAAAGCTTTCTGACCAGTAGCCCAGACTCCACCACTGTTCTTTCTCTTTGGTCTGTCTAGAACAGTGACTATATATTAGGGAAAACAAAATTATGGTGGCAGACAGGAAATGAGGTCCAGGAGGTTACACTAGGCTGGGTTGGGTTAAGCAAGGGGAAGGCCCAGCTTCAAGACTGAAAGAGAGACACCCAGACAACCACCTGGACAGGTCATGTAACACCCTCCCTGTTTCCCTCCCTCCCCACTCCCTTGACCCTGCCCCCCTTCCTGGTATCCCCACTGACTATTCTGAGCAACCCCCTCTGGGAGTTGCAGTCTTTGCCTTCTATCACCAACAAACTGCCCCACTGGAAATGTCCGTCAGTTTTTTGCCAGAGAACCATGCTTCAGGCTCTCCTGTATCAGTACCTTGGGATTGGCCCTAGGCATGGGATGAAAATGGTCCTTGGTACCAGGATGCCAAGAAAGTTGCAAGCAACAGCCCACTCCCACCCTGGGGTCTCAGTGTCCTTGGTTCTTGCCTCAGGCAGGATGCTGTTGGAGCTGGAGGGAGATGTGGTGCCGCTCCATCCCAGGGATGGGGTGGGGGGCACCTAGGCCCTTGAGCTCCCCTGAGTATCTGTCTCTGTTTCAGATGAACTGCTATCAGAGTCTATTTCAGCACTGTCCTGCTGATGTTTCTCCTGCACCTTCAGACGAATTGCCCCGAGGCGAATCAGGAGAGACTGGTAGTCAAAGTGGCCTCGCTTCTCCCCAAAAGGATCCTGAGGAAAGAGAGAAAGGAAAAAAGTCAGATTTGAATTGTTCATATCAGAGACAATAGTGGGACTGCATGGAAGCAAGAATAGCTCCCCAGGAGCTTCTCTCCCTGAGGAGAGCAAAGGACTGCAAGCAATACAAAAACCTCCATTTAAGAATGTTTTCTCAAAGTTCTAAACCCAATCCTCTCATTCTACCTCCCACGTCTTACCTGCTCAGGGATATCTGGCTGAGACACATATTAAAATGAGTTTATTTTCCCCAATGCATACTGCAAACAACAGGGGGAAAGGACTAAAAGGGAGATGCACTGGAATTGCATAATCATCTTAGATAATTCACATGCAGAGCACAGGAGTGCTGAGTTTTTATAACATCCCCAGGAAAAAAAAATGAAGACTATCCTTTATTCCTAAAGTCAGGAGAATCAGAATAACCAGCCTTTTCAAGTTTATCTAATTATTAAAATGTTTAAAGCTTATGTCTCTAGTCACTGGAAAAAAAAAAATAGAGCCTCTGTCTCTATTTGCAGACCCACCAACCCAGTCCTGCCAAGATTCCTCTTCTTCCTTATATAAGTACCTTCTATCCTTGATTCTGCCTTTATCACCCTAAGTCAGGAATCACAAACCATTTTGTACAAACTTCAAAGTCTACTCCAGAGGATGGGGGGGGGACCAAATCGGTAGACAAAAGTTGACTGTCCATAAAGAGGAAGAACTGGACTGCTAGTGAGACAGGATACAATGCAGGTATCTCACACAGGAACTGACAGGTTCCATAACTGACCAATTAGGGACTTGCTGTTGACATCATACCAAAAGCTACCCAATCACTTCTGTCAGCTCCTCTCTTCCAACCCAACCCCACCCCCACCCCCACTCTTTCCATTATGGCTTTCTATAGCCACTACAAACCAGTTTTCACTCCCCAGAGTTACATCCGGAAAGCCTCCACTCTACACTTGCTTTGAAGCAATCAATTTTCCAAACTTTCCTTCCTTCAGACTTCAGCTTCATTTCCACCCACTCACCTCCTCTCCAGGTGCTGGCCCTCCCCTTATAATTTTCTCAGTGCCCAAGGCAATTCTCTAAGCCTCTAAAAAGTTGCAAAGGAGGTAGAGGAATGAAATCATAGATCTAGTCAAAAAAATGCTTTTTCTTCTAAGGACTGATACTGGAACTACTGAGCAACGAAGGTTACAGCTTCTGATGCAAAATATGCTGGGGACATATCCCTTCTCAGGATGTATGAGAAATGGGAACAGGAAGAAATATAGCCCTAACTACACCCTGACACTTGAACCCTGGAGAAAGTGAAAGGCAACATTTACCAAGAGCCACACCTCAGCCAACAGAACATCTGATATTTCTAAAACATGGGTGTTTCACATTGTCACAATCCTCCTGTCTCTCCACTGGTGAGGACAAAAGGAAGGAAGAAACTTACCCAAGCAGTTGCCAAAGAGCTAGAAAAAGGCCTTAAGAAGCCACCAAATCTATCCTATCCTTCAGTCTAAGACCAACCAAAACACTCAGAGATGAGGGATTTTTCAGTGAAGCATTTCAAATGCCCTCTCAGTCACCTGTGTTTGGATTGGTGAGTTCTTCTATTCATCTAGGGTAATTTTTCACATTAAGGAGCTTCTTCCCCATCAAAGAACCAAGAATGGACCACCATTCCTTCAAACACTTGAACTGGGTTACACAGTGCCCCCCTCCAGGTTTTCTCTCCCAGATGCTCTTTCTTCTCCATCCTTTTCAGTTAGCCAGGAGGTTGATGCCACGCCTGGTTTGTCAGTACATCCCTCCCTCT